ACAAAATCAATTAGCAGTACTGTTGTCCTATATCATTGAGAACTGGCATTTTGTTAATAACAGTAAGAGGCCTGAAGCCTCTTGGTTTACTTTTAAGCATTGCCTACCATTGTTTATTATAAACGGAATATCAATTCTCAAATGTTGTAGAATATTTACAATGGATAAAATTGAGCCTAGGTAACTTTTTATATAAAATCATTCTAACTCAGTTCAACAGAACAATTTCTAAAAAGGATACTCAGGACTGTAGGTGTACTATGCATGTTAATTGAGAAGATATATTAAGTTCAATGGAGACTGCTTTCAGGAATAGCAATCGCTATAGCACTATATAATGTCAGCATAATTGCCCCCATCAATCTGGGTCCTCCTTTTACCAACCTCGGAAGGATGAAAGGCTGAGTCAACCTTGAGCAGGTCAGGATCGAACTCCTGGCTGTGGGGACATCTAGCCTGCAATACTGCATTCTAACCACTGCGCCACTACAGCTTTAGGAAAATGTACATACAGTACAGCTTTAAATATTTAGTGAAGTATTTTAAGATTTATGGTTTATGCTGAGACTACAAATTTAGTGTCCTTGGCATAGCAACCTATGGTATCTAGATTTTCTTTCAGTGGTTAACAAATCAAGGCTATTATATAATATCTGCCCATGATATGTGATTTAATTATGGTTCTCTAGATCATAATCAATTTCCTTCTTGCTCACAGCGTAATCCTATCCATTTCTACATAGCCCCACTGCTTTAAAGTTTCCTGCCAGAAAAATGTCCAAGATTTCAGCCTTAATATGAGGCACATTTTTCTCATTCATTTTAGTTGCATAAACTGATAATTATGTGACTTTTACCTGGACCCCAAACATTATAAAAAAATTAAATGTCACTGTATATAAACATGAAACAATATTACCCAAGCAGCGGGAAAAGGCAGTATAATAATTGACTGACATCAAATCAAACTTATTTTCAATCACTTGTTACACATGTACAGCAATACAATGAAAACAGTCCACGTTTTATGATTTCTGGTATGATCAAAATATCTGTACATTCACATTATTTTGGGAATATGGGTAAAATTTCCTGATCTTTAAGAAGTAATTACGGATGGTACCCTTATAAAAACAGTCCAGTGTCTGCAAAAAACCTATACATTTCATATTTATTCCATTACAAAAAAAATAAAGAATACTTTATTTTCCTTGATGAAGTTTTGAAATTGTAACCTCTTATTTGTAGCAAAAAGCTCTAGAACAGGTTTTAGAAATCAAAGTGTTACCACATAAACCTCTGGATTTCCTCATTATTTGGCCAGTGAAATGGTTTGTTCAAAAAGAAATACAGTGTTATTGCATTCACCAAAATGTATATAATCAACTCTAAGAAAAGATTCAAAAGTGATGGCATAGGAATATTAAGCCTATATATAATATATGGCAAAATGAAATAGCGGAATTCTAGAAGCTTTTGTGGAACCGTGACTGCAAACAAACATACAAAATATACCAAGTTCCAGAAAACAGATTTTGACTTCAGTGCATCTGTGAAACACCAGCCAGCAAATATATAAACTGGAACTAACGTGTACTTGACAAGCTCATGTCTCTGAAAGATTTTTCTCCACACATAAAATGTGTAATGTCTGTTATCTGCAAGCAAATACTTATGCGCATAAGTAAATTTCCAGACAAGGAATAAAGAAACAATTGTCAGGATACTATATCGCAGAAAATAGATCCTCACAGAATGGAGAAAACTGATAACTTTACTGGGTGTCACTATAAGAGGGAAGGAAAAAAAAAGACTAAAAGAAAAAAAGTAAAATAGCTGAGGGAAGTGCAGGCAGGCTTCATGGCTGCTCCTATCCCCAAGAACGATGCCACCATTGA